ATTAGAAAGCAAGATAGCAGTTCCTAAAAGTAACAGAAAAGACCAATCACTATTTGGAGCCCCTGATATCCATTATAAACCATCCGAAACCCAGTCGCTGCCTCAGATTGATTAGAACATGCAGTCGCCGAAAAAAAGAGATGAGTTTAAACTGACATATCTATTTCTCGAGAATAATATATACAACCAATTATATACAACGTTTCTACACACACATACACACAATCCATTCTCAACTGTTTTCACACTGTCATCAAATCTAGAGTAAACGTATTCCTCGAAGTTTGTTCGGATTGTTCCGAATTTACATCACAATCACTGTATAACAAGTTGAAGGAGAAACACTGCTCTCAGTTAAATGTTCATTTTATGTTGAAGAACCAGACACACACACTCACTTTTTCTTGAGGACAAATGTTCGAATTGGTCCAGTTGTGGTAATATTCAAATCTAAGATGGACTTTTATCGAAAAGTGGCAATGTGACAACATTTTGCTTCGTAGGTGAGTTTTATTTGTGATTTTGATTTTCCTCAATGTTGTACGTCTGAAATATTACATGAAATTATTCACATTCAATGGCGTGTAGTTGTTGATAGTGTTGACAGCTTCTGACAACCTGATGATGTGACAGATGTTTTACACTAATCATTCTAATTTTTATTACTTCGAAAGTTCTTCTTTGTAACTGTTAATAAATTCAATCTGAGAAAGGAAACTGAATTGCTGAAAATAAATTACAACTGTGTATTTCAAGAGTTTCCATGAATTGTAGAATGTGTGTAGTGAAATGAAGTAATATATATTCATTAAGGATGCTGTGACATACTTCAGTATGAGAAGTTCTGTCGAATGTTTAATGGAGAAACCGAAATTCGCATGAATAATAACCGACACAGATGATGTGATTAAACATGGACGAAACGAAGATAGAGTAACTGAACAGAGATTATGTGTTGTTATATCTAATAATGACCAGAACATTTAAGAAAGTTAAGATAATATGTAGGACTGAAATCAACGGAATCTAGATGTTATCAACGTTGCTTTTGAAGTGACAGTGACCAACCATACAAACTAGGAGATAACAAATGTTTATTTCATCAATTTATCATTCAGCGTAATTGAATTCCATCGACATATTGAAATAATTCGTTCTGAATTAAGATGGATGTATCTATGTTTACACGGTAATGCAATGTGTTATGTTCAAAGTAGATTAATCTTTTGTGCTTTGAAGTTTGAGATAAGGAAACAGTGAAATGTGTATCATCTCAAATATTTGCAAATTTTTCCTTGATTACGTCAATACAAATGTAATCCAAAACTCTGCCCCAAAATATCGTAACAGTGCACACTAGTGACTAGCTTATTCGTGAGGAAATTCTCGGAGTTCTAGTGATGAGAAGACGTGACCAATGGAGTTCAACCCTGTCGGGTGTAGTAGGCAGTAACTACCAAAGACAAATGGGTGAGGCCGCGCAAATATCCCTAGATCAATCAGAGTTAGACATTATCACCGTTAGATGCCGGCCCAGTGGTCCGATGGTAAGGCGTTCGCCTACAATGCCAAAGGTCCCAGGTTCGTATCCTGAGAGGAGCAGGAGTCGTGGATGCGTACTGCTGATGAGTCCCATACCAGGACGAAACGACCGTCCAGTGCCCCTTCCAGGTTTCTAATGGTGGTCTAACAATGAGTGATTGATGATTTCAAATGTACAAATTAAATCATCCCAGTATATGACCTAATTTAATCAAAATGTAATTCGCGCCTTTTTTTCGTTTGTTCTATTGTTTTAATTTTAGTATATATATGAATTGAAACCGAAATGATCCAAATATAACAATGAG